ATCCGCGACAGGACGACGACAACAACTACGGCGAGGAGGCCGAGGAGTCAGAGAATCCAGACGAGTTCGTGCGAGATGAAGAAGTAGAAGCAGATGAGGCCGAGGAGGAGAACGACGAGCAGAACAACGAAGGTGAGGAGGAAGAGGAGGAGAAGAACGATGAGGAAAGCGAAGAGGAGCCTGAAGAGCCCATCCGCAAACGGCCAGCTGCAGCAGATAAGAAACGACCATCAGCAGCTGCAGCAACCTCAGATCAGATGAAACGACCAGCAGCTGCAGCACCACCAGATCAGATGAAACGACCAGCTGCAACGCCCGCTGCCGACGAGGAACTCCACCTCCTGCTCATCCTCACCCCCCCGTCCGCTCCCTCGCCACCCCTGTCCAACCGAGGATGAGTTCGAATGCGGCTACTGCAACATGACGCAAGCTCCGTATCGCGTGTGCCGCTACGGGAACCAGGAGCGAGAATATGGCGTGATCTTCGTGCCAGATGGCGCGTCTCAGTCGGACTCAGCCAAAGCAAGGTGGTGAGATATGAAAGGGATGAGGGGCCTCCCGAGGACCCAGGAGGAGGGAGGAGATGAGGATGATCGGTGGGAGAGGAAAGATGAGGAGCGGAAAGGAGGAGGAGGACGAGATGAGGTGAGGAGGTGACGAAAAGCGGAGATGAGGAGGATCGGGAGGAGATGAGAGAGGGGAGGAGACAGCGGACAGGACGAGGAGGGGACTTAAGGTATGGGGAGGATCGGCCAGCAGGTGGAGTGACAACACGGTGAAGGATGTGCCGCAGCTGCTGTGCAACGACGTGAAGACGGTCAAGGCTGGCGCTGCAGGCATCGTGTGGACACATCAGGAGGACGACGAGGTGAGACTCAAGGGCGCGCGGTGCAATGAGCGTGGCCATGACTTCATCAAGCTGTTGGACACAAAAAAAGCCGCCCACAGTGACGCAGGTGCAGGTCAAGTGGTTTGGCGGGGACTTCGACGCCGCGAAGCGGTACATCATCATGATCGGCAATCGTTATCTTGCTGACGGCTCTAACGTTGAACTCATATCGTTCTCAGCCCCCCCCCCCGCACCAAATTTGACCCCGAGGATGGCCAGGGAAATGAAGACGAGCAAAGGGAAGAGGGTGAGGAGGTGCGAGGAGGCAGTTTGCGGAGAGGTGACCTGCCCCTCCCCCCAAGGCTGGACGAAGGAGCAGATCGAGAATCACAAGAAGGAGACGCTCGGCACCCAGATGGCGGTGGCCAAGGCCAAGGGCAAATCCAAGGGGAAATCGAAGGCGAAGGCGAAGGAGGAGAAGACGGAGGAGAAGAAGGAGTCGAAGGAGAAGGCAGTGACGAAGGACACGTCGACGGAGAAGGCCGGGGAACATGCATATCCACCGCCTGGGGAACCGATGTCCGTGGGCCGCAGGTCCACAGGAATATCGGTTATCCAAGAGCTGGGTATGTATGAACCTCAACCTCGAAAAGGGTGCGTCCGAGTGGGATGAGGATGTCGACTCCGCGGGGACCCAGCCATGGGACGCCAGACCCTCGCCCGTGGACAACGACCCGAGCACGCCGCCGCCGAAGAAGGCGAAGATCGATGATGGAGGTTGAAGGGAGACATTATCATCTGGGATTGCAGTCCTCTGACGCCATCCTCGAGGAGCTCCTCGAGGAGGGTGTCAGCGGATGTCAGGGGATGTCGGATGTCAGAGGATGGGGAAGATGGCTCGAGGATGTCGGGGAGAAGCATGCAGTAGGATCCTACTGCATGCTTCTCATTCTCCCCCTGCTCCTCCAGGTGCTGCGCCATCAAGAACATCGGCGGCGGCAACGGGCCCCGTGCACGAGATGTCCCCGATCATGCTGCCAGACGACGATGAGTGAGGCAGGCAAGCAGATGTTCGACAATCGGTGGATCGCACGGGCTAGCCTGAAAAAAAAATGAGCGGTCCTTGCATCCTTGCTCCTCGGACCCCCTCAGATCCAGGATGAGCATGCAACCATGCAAAAGGTATCTTGTATCATTTGATTGCTCAACCGTGCAAGTTGTACCACAGTGCACCAGTAGAGGCTATAGATAAGAGGTCCGAGTAGATAGTGTCGATCGGGGGATTGCGCCGCATCGCCGATGCATCGCCGATGCATCGGCGATGCATCGGCGATGCATCGGCGGCGGCGCCGGTACATCGGCAACGTCCGCGTGGGAAACGCGGGCTCCACATCGAGCCGCATCGTCGACGCATCGGCGATGCGGCGCGATCCTCGACCCCATCTACTCGGACCCCATCTGGGGAGGCCTGGAACCCGCACATGCAACACACTGTTTGGGGTCCGTATGCAGCTATATTGGCTGCAAGGGTTGAGCGTGCGTTCTCTCCCCCCCCCCTGCGCTGGCCAACGGGCAGACATGCAGCGCCCACAGCAGCAGCAACAGCCGTGCGAACATGATGGCGATGATGGCGGCTGCAGCTGGCACACGGGGAACGCGACGGTTCCGTCGGTTTGAGGGGCGACAAATTCAACCACCCAAACGCTCAACCCTTGCTGGCATATATCGTACACAATTAACCTCATAAGGGCTTCGGGGTCCAGCAGCCTGCTCACGCTGCACCGCGCCGTGGTGCCGCGCCAGCGTCGATGGGGCCACCTCCAGCACCACATGAGTCGCAAGGCATCATGGGAAATCTCCACTATCGGAGAAGGGGGATGCGAGGGGGAGGAGAGGGAATCAATGGAGGTAAATCGCAACATGCAGGCATGCATGTGGCAACCTACCCTTCAAGGCATCCAGAGCATAGATGACTTTGAGGCGAGGCTGGCGGAGAAGAACATCGCCCCTTGCGTTCCTGCGGACGCTCTAGCACCGATCGCTGCTGCTGACGACTCTTGCAGGGATGAGATGCTGGAGCAGGCGGCCGCCAACGGCTGGCAGTTCCCGATGAAAAGCAAGCTCGGCATGGCGTTCTATAGGGAAATCCCGAAGCTGGAGTTCCAGGCCATGAGTGACGCTGACAAGGCCGAGCGCAAGAAGAATTGGATCAAGCGCAAGTACGACACGCACAAGGCCCCCCCATCCGAAATCAGCTTAAAGGGGACACCACCCCATGTAATACCCCACCCTCGTACCCAGATCCCTATGGGATGTATGCAGATTATCCTGCAGGCGGTACGCGAGCACGCGACACAGCACGACAAGTCGAAGAAAACCTGGGGGCGGATGCTGAACATCGACGCGATCATCAAAGAGGACTGTGGGCGGATGGGGATTGATGCTGAGGAGGATGAGGACAAGGACGAGGCCGAGGATGAGAAGGAGGAGGAAGAGGAATAACTACGAGGTGGAGGAGGGGGAGAAGGGAGGAGAGATGAGATCGCGTCATGGCCATTGCAGGAGGGCGGCCACCACTCGAGGCGGGTGATAGAGGGCGCCAAGAACTACTGCCACAACGCTGTGAAGTTGGGATGGTAACCTTCATCCTCCTCCTCCTCCTCCTCCTCCTCCTCCTCCTCCTCCTCCTCCTGTTCCTCCTCCTCCCCCTCCTCCTCCTCCCCGTCCGCATTAGTATTGGCTTCGGGTTCCAGGTACGCTCGCAATGCTATGACTGGACGCATGGAATATTTGTACGTTCAGAGGGGCTTCGAAGAAGTGTTCAAGGAGCGGTGGATGCTCCGCGAGAGGGAGATCACTGAGGGCAGGGCGAGCCAGGCATAGCTTCCTCCGTTCCTCCTCGTCCCTCCTCCTCCTCACCACTCATCCTGTCTGGCAGGCAGTGCCGAAGTCAACGGGCGCTCCTCCTGCAATTGCTGCCGCTCCTCCTGCACCAGCACCCGACGTGGCTGACGATACCCCAGCCAAGACCAAGGCCATAGGAGATGGATAAGGAGGAGATGACAAGGAAGATGAGGAGGCGGAGGAGCAAACATGAGCATGAGGAGGATGAGGGTCGAGGATCGCAGCTGCAGCGTCCAGGCTCCAGGCAAGAGGGCGAAGCACGCGGAGGTTGCGCAGCCCAAGAAGAGGTCCAAGCAGCCCAAGCAGGAGATCGAGGAGGTCGAGCCCAAAGCTGCGGCCAAGACGTTCCATTATCACATCCACACCCCCCCCCCCTCTCCCTGGACATTTCTAGGGAGGTGTTGGGGGGGGGCTCTGTAGTCAGGCTCGCGGAGGCTTGCAAGATTACGGACGCGTTCTCGAAGGCTCTCAAGGGAGCCGAGGGCATAGTTGCGACTCGAGCTTCGAACGCTGACTGGGCGACGAGCGGAGGACAACAGAGGTCAACATGTCATGTTGACATATTTTGACCCCCATTGCATATTCGACCCTGGTCGGGGAACAGAGCCAATCTAGGCTCCTCCTCAGTCTCCTTCTCCTCCGTCCGTTCCTCCGCCTCGCCTATAGCGACAAGCGGGAGGTCAGCATGGGTCAACCTAATGTTGACCCTTGTTGACCTTCCTCTTGCAGTTTCAACGTGAGTGTGAGACGCGGACGGGCACATCCTGCAGCCTGATCTTCCTAGGCTCATCCGCCTCCTCATCCCCCTCATTCGCTCGAGCGACGAGCAGATAAAAACAACGGTAAACATAGGTCAACATCATGTTGACCAATGTTGACCTTGAAGCATGGACCCATCCCAACAATAGGTCAACATCGTGTTGACCTATGTTGACCGCTATGGTGACACTGAAGCGTGGACCCAGGACAGCAGGTCAACATAGGTCAACATTATGCTGACCTATGCCGACCGTGAAGCTCAATAGGCACATCCCAACAAGAGGTCAACCTAGGTCAACATACTGACCTGTGCTGGCCTTGCAGCTAGGGCATACAAGAGGACGACAGGTCAACCTTAGGTCCATCGTGTTGACCTATGTTGACCCTGAATCTTGGACCCATCCCAACAAGAGGGCAGCATGCCAACATAGGTCAACATTATGTTGACCTGTGTTGAGCAAGTCTGTCCCTTTAGCGGCGCTCCTCCGATGTGGGCCCATCCCTCCAGGCGAGGGCCCTGAGCAAGGATGAGATGCAGCCCCTGGTTGATTCCATCAAGACGGCCAAGGACTTCCTCAAGGCGAACCCCTTCTGGGATGAGGTGACCTCCGTTGGCTGTTCGATGATGCAGGACTTCAGTGATCCCACCCCCCATCCCTATGGGCCCGACCCTTTCAATTCCTATAGGAGATCAAGCCCAACGAGTACAACAAGCACATGCCCCTTGCCATGCAGATGATCAAGCCCATTATGGATCGGGTGCGTTCGCTCGATCGTCGCGGTTACCCTATCATCACCCCCCCTCCTCCTCAGCCTCGCCCTTTGCCGCGGAGGATGATCTGTGGGCGAAGCTGACCACATGGAACGCCTTGGGATCCAAGTACCACGTGGATTATGTAACAATTCTGGCCAAAATGAGGGCGTTGTCGGTTGAGGCCATCCGCCTACATCCTCAGCTCACTCCTGCTCCTCCTGCTCCTCCTCCTCCTCCTCGGCCCCCTCCCCCAACGGTCACCAACGATACTAGCACGATCACGCAGAGCATGTGTGCTGACTTGGGCAAGGTCCGCAAACAGGCCACTTCCTCCCCAATGCCCCCTGGGTCACCAACATTCTCCGTCCCCTCCTCCTACAGCTCAAGCCCCGCATCATCACCGACAACAGCTGGGCCACGCACGACTACCGTTGGAACAAGCTAAAGCAACAGCAAGTGAAGTACGCGCGGAAGGAGTTCATCCTGGAATACCTGAAGCTGAAATCACTCAGCAGCTGGTCACCAGACATGGAGATGGCTGAGGACTGCCATGCTCTTCCCACCACCTCCATCGTTAATGATAAGCCCAACGCCCCACTCATCAGGAGACACAGTGTTATCCTGGGAGCTGCTGGACACAGGTTGACCCACATGCCCGCCTAATTCATGCACTCATGAGCATTGGCGAGGACGCTGACCATATCGAGGTAGTTCCTCCTCCTCCTCCTCCAAATCTTCCGCCTGCGCAGATGCCCCTGTCATCGTCCATAGCATTTCTCCTGCCCCATGCTCCTGCTCCTTATCCTCCTCCTCCTCCTCCTCCTCCTCCTCCTCCTCATCATCATCATCATCGTCACCATCAACATCCTCATCAACCTCCAATCTTCATCCTCCGCCTCCTTCTCCTTCTCCCCCTCTGCCTCATCGTTCACCATCCCTTCATGTCCGCTGTCGTTTTAGTGCGCATTGCCCCAGGTGCGCAACACGACCGCCGGGCTGATCAACCTGAAGAAGACGAGGGCTGAATATTTCGCGAGGTCCTAGGCGCGGGAGTTCAGGCTCGGTCCTCCTCATCCTCTCCTCCTCCTCCTCCTCCTCCTCCTCCTCCTCCTCCTCCTCCTCCGTTGTCCGTCCTCAGTTTTCCTCCTCCGTCCTCCATCTTCGCAGTGCTCCCATGCGCTCTCCAAGGGCGCTCCCAGGGCTCTCCAGGGCGCTCCACGGGCGCTTCCACGGCGCTCCTAGCGTACACCCAGTGAGCCCTACAAGCGCTCCCAGGGCGCTCCAGGGCGCTCCAAGAGCGCTCCAAGGGCGCCCACAGAGTGCTCCATGGGCGCTCCCAGGGCGCTCCCAGGGCGCTCCAAGAGTGCTCTGGACATCGCTTCGGAGCGGCCTGGAGCTCCCTAGGAGCGCCCGAGCCGCCTCCTTCTCCTCCTCCTCCTCCTCCTCCTCTTTCTCCTCCTCCTCCTCCTCCTCATTCTCATCCTTTTCAGCCTCCTCCTCCCTCTCTTTCTCTGGGTCTGGGTGGAGTCGTCACTCTGCCAGCGCAGTCTCTGGCTCCAGAGATATGGATCCACAGCGCCCATCTGACCACTGCTGTCCACAGATGTCCACCCCCTGTTGACCCCTGTTGACCTCTGTTGACCAAGAAATTCAGCTGACAAAAACCATCTGGAGGTCAACAGAGGTCCACAGAGGTCAACAGAGTGTGGACCTCTGTTGACCTCTGTTGACCTCCAGAGGTCAACAGAGGTCAACAGAGTGTGGACCTCTGTTGAACTCTGTTGACCTCCAGGTGGTCAACAGAGGTCAACAGAGGTCAACACTCTGTTGACCTCTGTTGACCTCTGTTGACCGCTGGAGGTCAACAGAGGTCAACAGAGGTCCACACTCTGTTGACCTCTGTGGACCTCTGTTGACCACCTGGAGGTCAGCAGAGGTCAACAGAGGTCCACACTCTTTTGACCTCTGTGGACCTCTGTTGACCACCTGGAGGTCAACAGAGGTCCACACTCTGTTGGCCTCTGTATACCTCTGTTGACCTCGAGGTCCACAGAGTTCCACACTCTGTGGACCTCTGTGGACCTCTGTTGACCTAAGGCGGACCCATTTTCACCATGTGCTTTTACACGTTTTCTGACCCAGGTGCAATTTCATATCGTAAATTACGAGGTCAACAGAGGGCGGGTGCAAAACATTGGACCATGTATCGTGCGAAAATGCACCCGCCTGAGACGGTCCACAGAGGTCAACAGAATGTTGACCTTTGTTGACCGCTGTGGACCTGTTTGGGCCCCCCGAGACGGTCAACACCGGTCAACAGAGGTCAACAGACTGTTGACCGTTGTTGACCGCTGTGGACCTGTTTGGGCCCCCCGAGACGGTCAACACAGGTCAACAGAGGTCAACAGACTGTTGACCGCTGTTGACCGCTGTTGACCTGTTTGGGCTCCCCGAGACGGTCAACACAGGTCAACAGAGGTCAACGGACTGTTGACCGTCGTTGACCGCTGTTGACTGGGCTCCCTACTCTCCCCTGCTCCCGCCCCTCTCACCATGATCTGCCCACCCTCGAGGGATCCACGTGACCGATGTTGACCTGTTTGGGCCCCCCGAGACGGTCAACACATGTCAACAGATGTCCACAGACTGTTGACCGTTGTTGACCGCTGTGGACATGTTTGGGCCCCCCGAGACGGTCAACACAGGTCAACAGAGGTCAACAGACTGTTGGCCGTCGTTGACCGCTGCTGACCTGTTTGGGCCCCCCGAGACGGTCAACACAGGTCAACAAAGGTCAACAGACTGTTGACCGTTGTTGACCGCTGTTGACTTTGGGCTCCCTACTCTCCCCTGCTCCCGCCCCTCTCACCATGATCTGCCCACCCTCGAGGGATCCACGCGACCGATGTTGACCTGTTTGGGCTCCCCGAGGCGGTCAACACATGTCAACAGATGTCCACAGACTGTTGACCTATGTTGACCGCTGTGGACCTGTTTGGGCCCCCCGAGACGGTCAACACAGGTCAACAGAGGTCAACAGACTGTTGACCGTCGTTGACCGCTGTTGACCTGTTTGGGCACCCCGAGACGGTCAACACAGGTCAACAGAGGTCAACAGACTGTTGACCGTTGTTGACCGCTGTTGACTTTGGGCTCCCTACTCTCCCCTACTTCGGCCCCCATCGCCCCTCGAGGGATCCCTGCCCTGTGCTTTTCACCGTTCTGCGCATCCCTCCCCCGGGGAATTCTGGGGGCGCGCGTAGGGCGCATCGGCAGGCGACAGTGGGCTCAAAACTGAATGAGAGACGAAAGCTGGAGAGGCGAGGAGGGAGGGGGGAGGCAGAGGGGGCGGAGAGCGAGCGATCGATAGAGAGAGAGAGAGAGAGAGAGAGATCGAGCGTGAAACTGCCCTGGAGGTGATATACGAGGCGTTGGGTAATCCACGCTAGCTGAGATCACCGAGGCCAGGACAGGCTGCAGCGGCGCTGGCCCCTCCCCCCAACCCGCCAGCACCCTTCCCTCACCACGCGCGCTCGACCATGCATGCTGCAGTAGACCCAGGGTGTGCACGTTCAGCCTCGATATATTATGGGGTCGAGGCTGCTGGCACGCATGAAGTTTGGGGTCGACGGCTCGCGACAGTGCGAGCGCCTGGGATCGAAAAGTTCACTCGAGATAGATGCGTTGCGCGTTCGCCCCTGCTGCCCTAGCCCACTCCATCGCCCACAGCATGCCTCGGAGATTGGAGCCCGACAGCACTGATACAGTGGATGCCAATGGAAACACCCTGCTTGCCTCCAAGGTGCCCTGGATCTCTTGGGTGTCGATGGTGTTGCTGTAGACAGCGTGACGTTTAGCAAGGCGTCGTTTCTTGTGAAGGGTCTCTTGTGATCGGGCCTCCAAAGTATCAGGCGTCGGGCAGGCATGCACGACCATGTTTGATGCTGGCAATGATGGGGATGATGCTTTGTGGTTGTGGCGACGTGAAGATGACAATCATGATGATGCTGATGATGATGGTGATCATGAGGCTCCTGATGATAATGGTGCTGGTGGTGGTGATGATGATGATGCTGGTGATGATGATGATGATGATGATGATGATGATGATGCTGATGATGATGATGGCTGCTGGGACGTGGCCTGTTGAGATCGACTGGGGCACACACCTCTGGAGGCGACTGCTCCTGTGGAGAACAGGTGAGGGGGCCCTCGGGAGACGGAGGAGGAGGAGGAGGAGGAGGAGGAGGAGGGGGAGGTATGCATGCTGATAGGATGAGGGAGGAGAGAGGAGGAGGAGGAGGAACAAACCATGAGGAGGAAGGAGGAGGAGAAGCGAGGAAGGGGAGGTGGAAGAGGAGGAGGGGGAGGAGGCAGAGGAGGGGGAGGAGGAGGAGGAGGAGGAGGAGGAGGAGGAGGAGGAGGAGGAGGAGGAGGCAGAGGAGGAGGAGGAGGAGGAGGAGGCAAGCAGAGGAGGAGGAGGAGCAGGATCAGCAACGCAGTCGGTCTGGCACAAGCGCATATAATAACCCAGTGCACCATGCCACCTAAGAAGAAGCAGCGTTCCACTTGGGACAGCGAGCCTGCGACATGGGACGCCGACTCGACAGATGAGGAGGCACCTGCGTGGGATGCATCTGACCCCGAGCCCAGCGCCCCGTGGGGCGACGGCGGCAAACCTGAAGAAGAGCTTGAGGCCCAGCAGTTTGAGCATGGAGAGCAACTTCTTGAAAATTGGCTAGGCCAGTATGCCAAGGGCACCATGAGCGCGAAGGAGCTGTGCACCTACTGCTGGCAGGCCCACCACGCGGGGGCAAAGGGGCCGTTCCAGCGGTTCATGCTGGACCCACAGAGCTCGCCTGGTAATTTTCAAAAGAAGCTGACGTCCGCTTTCAAGTTCGCGCCCCAGGTTGTGAAGATGTCCGTCGACATGCCAATGCACATCGGCTCCAGCCGCAAGATCGTGCCAACCCTCGCGCGCCCACCCCACGAGGCATTGGCAGCTGAATTCGCGAAGAACCCAGACATGATCGAGCAGGACTTCGCGGAGGGCGCCGAGGAATGGAGTGACGCGTATAACGCGCACCCCTCTGTCGTGAGTGCTCGCGCGCGCGGTCTCGCAGCGCACCCGTGCGCGCTGTGCTCGGATGGCGCTAGGTATAAGAAGTCCATTACTGTCGGCAAGGCTGACAGTTTTTTTGGCGTCTTCATATATTCGCTCATTTCCCGCAAGAGGCATCCAGTAGCGTTTCTCCGCAAGTCTTTGCTTTGCCAGTGCGGGTGTAAGGGGTGGTGCACATTCTTTCGGCTCTTCCAATTTTTGCACTGGTCTCTCACAGCAGCGATGGAGAGCTCGAGGCCAGCAGAGAGATGGGACGGTTCACCCTGGCCAGAGACCGACCACTATTTTAAACAATTCCTAGAGGAACCGACGCTTCCATGCCCAGTCGCCCTCGTCCAAATCAAGGGCGACTGGAGCGAGTTCTGCAGCGCGTTCGGATTCCCCACGTGGGCGTCCAAGTATCACCCCTGTATTTTCTGCCGAGCCACCAAAATTGAACTGTACTAGTTTGAATCAATTTCGCACGCAGGCCACAGTTGGGGCACGCGTGCCCCATCTGATTATAACAACCAGTGCGCGGCATGTGAGCGCCATATATGTATAGATAGCGAAGAGAAGAGGCTGCAAGTAGTTAGCGTGCTCATGAGGGGGCAGAAAAAATCGCGCCCAGGTGGGCGAATCGTCAAATGTAGGGCGCCACTCCTCGGCCTTTGAGCGCATGGACCGATTGGAGCCCAGCGCTGGCCTGCCTGACATTTATGACCTCGAGCACGCCCCTATTCCTGCTGGCGGTTTGAATGTAGTTTTCTGGCGCCGAACTCTTGATGGATCCACGCTGGCCGACCCTGTCATTCGGCGCGACCCACTTCTGGATGAGCGGCTCGTGGGTGATCCGCGAGGCGTTCTCCGCGTAGATACTTTACACACCTTATACTTAGGTGTGATGCACTGTTATGTTCAGGGCGTTGCCTGGCGAGTTGTGGCGGCCAATCCTCGGCGCGCTGCTGGCGCGAGAGACGAAATCATCAAGACTGCTTTCGTGTTCCTCCAGTCCCATTTAAAGAAATTATACTCGGAAACTAATGTAGATAATTCATATCGCCTGAACCAGCTAACTGCAAAAAATGCTCGGGAATGCCCCGAATGGGCCTTGCACCGCAAAGGCTGCCGAAACTGGCCCTTTGGTGAAGTGGGCTGTCCGTCTCACACACGATTTCGCAATGGTTGGGCAGGAGTACCTGCGTGGTGCAGGTGTAGCGCTGCTAGAGCATGTCGCCATTATAAAGCGCGAGCCACAGAAATTGAGCAAACGCAGTGCAAAGGATCTGATGACGACGTTTCATCGCCACGTGGCGCTTTTGAGAACTGCAGGTGTGAAATTCGTTCCCAAGCATCACCTTTGGTGCCACCTCACCATGCTGGCAAAGACGAACGGCAACCCCCGCTTTTATTCCACATTGTTGGATGAAAGTTTAAACGGCGTGGTGGCCACAGTCGCTCAGGCGAGCCACCCAACGACATGGCTGGATAGGATATTCAGCAGGCTGCAGTTGATGCCAATATATTGCACGAGCTGGTTCGCTAATGTTTAATGTTTAGAGGTGCGGTCCATATACTTGCACATGGCACGTATCATGCATGCAGCACGCACATACCCAGACAATAAGTGCGCATATATAGCAACACATGGGACTGCATCTCTGCATGTGCTCTCAGTTCACGACAGACGGCGCTCGGAAGTCCCTGTCTGCATGCGTGCTAATGTCCGACACACGGCGTTCGGAAGCCACTGCCCCTGCATCTCATGGTGTGCTCTCAGTTCGACAGACGGCGCTCGGAAGTCAATGTCCGCGTGTCGCTGTGCCAATGTGATCATTTGATTATAGTGTCCCGACAAAGTGCCCTCGGAAGACGTGTCGTAGTCCCGTCTGGTAAAACGCGACCGCCATCCATCCATGCCGTGCTTGTCTGCGCAGCAATTGCCTCTCTGCAGAGCCGCGGGCTTGCCCCTGCGAGCCCAGACGGCCATGGCTGCAAGCAGCGACGAGGCAGAGGCTCGATGACCATCTCCTTTCCCTCGCCCTCCGCTCGCCCACCTCCGCGCCGCGACCCGGCAAGGCAGAGCAGCCCACGGAGCCGCGCATGTTTATCCAGCGGCTGATCGCCACGGAGCTCGGGAATTACGGAGCGCACCCTGATAGACATCAGGACTGCGAGTTTGAGCCGAGAGAGGGAAGCGAAGAGGAGGAAGAGGGGGAAAAGGAGCTAGAGGAAGGGAGGGGGGAGGAGAGGGACGAAGAGAGGGGAGGAAGAGAACGACGAGAGAAAGGAGGGAGGGCAGGAGGGACAGAGCGAGAGGAACGAAGAGAAGGAAGATCGAAGGATAGCTCGAGGCGTAGCGGCAGGAAAGCAGAGATAATCGGCTCCAGGACGATAACTTACTGACGATCTTCCAGGAGCTGGCCCCTCGACATTATCCACACGTGAGGCGATATGCCACTCCCTCCTTCCATCCCTCACGCCTCCTCCCATCCCCCCCCAGACATCCTCATCAGCATGATCCATCCTGTCGCCCCTCATCCTCCTCTATCCCCTTTCTCATCCTCTCCGAACTCCTCATCTCTCACGCCTCGTCTCCTCCTCCTCCTCCCCCTCCCCCCCCTCCCCCTCCTCCTCCTCCTCCTCCTCCTCCTCCTCCCCCTCCTCCCCCTCCCCGGTACTCCCGCGCCAGGCGAGACGTGCAGTTCCTCGAGGTCTTCAGCGGCGCTGGCGGAGCGAGCAAAGCTGTGCGGGCGGTGCCGCTGGGGAAGGAAGATGAGGAGGAGCAAGGATGAGGAATGATACCGAGGACGAGGCAATGAGGATGACGACAACTAAGAATTAGGAATGATGAGGACGAGACGGTCGGAGGACGACGTGCATGAGGAATGATGGTGGGGGAAATGAGGAGGGTGATACGATGTGCGCAGGCGCTGTACAAGGCCGTCGAGTACGACGCGGATCGCAACGATCGCTGGGAGGACGTCACGACCCCCGAGGGCCTACTGCACCTAGGAGCCTGGCCTTTACCGCCCTCCCTCTACCCCTATCAGTCGTCCCTCTTCCACCCTTCCCCTCCTCGTCGTCCCACATCTCCAGGGCTACGGCCCTGTTGGTGCAAACATGGGCTGGCAGTTCTACTGATGTTTCGGGTGCGGCCTGGTGGCATCATCTGGTTGTCGCCACCTTCCTGGGGTGAGATCTGCGGTTGCAACCTGTTATGGCACGCTTGATCGACGATTGCATGCAGACGTCTGAGCATGATCAGACGCATGGTTGCGATCGTCGGTTAGGCGTGACATCAAGCGTGCCAGATCAGTGCTCCATCCCAAGTGATCTCGGCACCGTGCCTGGGCGGCTCGCGTTCATGGCGGGCGTGTGCGCCTTGATGATGTCGTACGCGCGCTCTGCTGGCGCACATTTCGTTCTGGAGCAGAAGATATGGAGCTGTCTGTGCAATACTGTGAGTATCGCCCAATCCGTTCGTGAAGAAAACGGTCGACGCGTAACATCGCACGTGCGAGGTTCTCAGGGTTGGTCGAATGGATTCGATCGACATCGACTCCAGCGCCCCACGTGCCCGATCCTCCCCCCTCAATCTCTCGAATGGCCCAGGCTACGGCTACTTCACGCTGATGGTGAACGCGGAGATCGAGCAGCTGGTAGGGTCGGCTTTGGATGACATCCCCATCGACGTGGGCGCTGACAGCGACATGGAGGGCATCGAGTCCGAGGGCTACCCGCAGCTGCTCAATGAGGACTGGCCGAGGAGTAATGTGAGCAGGTTCCCCTCTTCAGCCTCCTCGGACACCCCCTGTGTTTCGCGCGTCGCGGTCTGGGTTAGAGCATCGGTTACTCCCAACAGCATGGGGGTGAGCGCGATGCGCGAAGTTATATATAAATGGCCTGGAGGAGGGGAGGAGAGGATCCGACCCCTTCCTCAGGCGATCGTCAAGATAGTGAGGGAAGCTGCGAACATCAGCATCGAGTAGGGGGTCTGACCACAAGCCTTGGCGTGTGGCCAGCACCCGTTCAGGTTGCAAATTATTCGGGGGTGCCTAGGGGCGCGGGGGATTCGCGTTTCCGCCATTGTGCGAGGGTGTGTGTGTGTGTGTGTGTGTGTGTGTGTGTGTGGGTGGGGGGGGGGTTGGAGTGACCCTCCCCACCGCCCCCCCGTTGCAGGGACTGCCAGGGAGAGCGAGGCATTATTCGACCTCGAGCTGGCAGTCCCCGCCCTAGGGCCCCCTCATGGACCTCGATTTCGTTGGAGTTGCCCTGGTGTGGCGGTTGAATTCTTGCGAGTTGTGCAGAATGCATGTCGTTTGATCTTGATCGAGTTGTTGCGAATGCCTATCGTGTGATCTTGAATTGATCGATTTCGTATTGGTTTTTTGGGTCCTGTACTGGGCCATCCTTGACTGGGTCAGCATCTTGCTGGACTTGGTCATCCTTGACGGGGCGAACCACGTGCTGGACTGGGTCATCCTTGACGGGGTCAGCATCGTGCTGGACTGGGTCAGCATCTTGCTGGACTTGGTCAACGTTGACGGGGTCAGCATCGTGCTGGACTGGGTCATCACCATGCTGGACTAGGTCATCCTTGACGGGGTCAGCATCTTTCTGGACTGGGTCATCCTTGACTGGGTCAGCCTGCTGCTGGATTTCATGGGCATGAATTTCCCATCACCACCACCACCATAGGGAGGAGGAGCAGGAGGAGGAGGAAGACGCGGGAGAGGAGGAGGAGGAGGAGGAGGCGGAAGAGGAGAAGGAGGAGGAGGAGGACATTTCCATGCCCATCAGGACTTGGTCATCCTTGACTGGGCCAGCAACTTGCTAGACTGGGCCATCAAGGCCCGAGCGGGGCCGCGGCGCCGTGGCGCCGTGGCGCGCGCAAGCTGGCGACCGAGACGCGTCCCGCATTCCAAATGGGGTCCGAGAGATGTGGTCGGAGGATCGCGCCGCATCGCCGATGCATCGGCGATGCGACTCGCGATGTGGAGCCAAGTTTCACCAACGCCCACGGCGCCGATGCGTCGCCGACATCGCCGACGCATTAAACGATGCGGCGCGACCCTCCGACACGATCCTCGATCCCCATCTGGAATACATCGCCCGCCGCCCTCCTGGCAAAATGCGGGACAGGATAGGCGCCTCTGCCACCGCCACTGCACGCTTTATATCTTCCCTCCCTCCCTTTATCCTCCATTCGTTAATTAAGTCAGCCTCCATCCTCTCCATTCCCCACTTTCTCCCCTGGGGGTGGAAGGGGGGGAATCATCTTCGCGACGCGGCGAGGCCGTATTCACGCGAGATGTGTTCGAATCCGCCCTTTTCGGGCGCGGGCGCACCGTCTACAAGTCGTTGTCGTCGGAGAACAATGAACTGTGCGCAAATTGCATCATTATGGTTGAGTTGTCAAGCATTTCCAAAAATCCCTTCCCCCTCTTCCCCCGCTCACCCTCTCCATCCCGCGGGCCATCTAACATATCGTTTACGTGGCGCCTCGAGGACGGTGGACGGAGCATGGCTTCCCTGTCCCCTCATCCCTCCCTCCCTCCCCCCCTCACCCTCCCTCGCGCCCCTCGTTCCTCGCTCCTTGATCCGAAGCTCGCGGTGGCAGGCAAGAACCCTCGAACGAGGGGTCCTCGGTATGTCCCGTTCCACCCCCCTCTCCTCAAGCACAGCCCGCCACGCCCCGAACTCAGCCAGCCATGAGCGCTCCTCTCATCCCCGAACCTGTGCTCGCACTGGCAGCGGCTATGGCCGCTGCTCTCGAAGCGGCGGCCAGCGCCGCCGCTGGCATCGTGTTCGTGTGTCGCTCCAGCGGGCACGGTGAGTTCGCTACGATGCTCGAGGATTTGGAGGTGGGAAGGGCGGATGCACTTTCCTAGCGCCTCGAGGGGCTGCAGCCCAGCTGCGGTGCCTCGAGGCGCTAGGGAATTGCACCTGCGTTTCCCGCGTTTCGTCCGCTAGGAGCGTCAGAGGGCGTGGTCGGCGGAGGCGGCGCTGTGGAGGGACGGTCTGGTGCTGGCGCTTCACGGTCGACGCGGCGGGGACAACTGGGGGAGCAAAACCGTGCCGATGCCGCTACTCCACGGACCTCTCCCGAGGTGCGTTCTGAACAAGATTTCCAGGATAATCCAGCCGTGGCAACGCGCGGGGTCGATAGGTTTTCCTCCCCTGAACGGCGCGGCGGCGGACGGCGGGGACAACTGGGGGAGCAAACGGCGCCGATGCCGCTACTCTGTGCATCTCTCCCGAAGTGCGTTCTGGACAGGATTCAAGCAAATCCAGCCGTGGCAATATAAGCGGCATCGACACCTTTTCCCCCCCTGAACGGCGCGGCGGCGGACGACAGGGACAACTAGGGGAGGAAAACGGTGCCGATATCGCTACCCCACTGACCTCATCCTGGTGCGTTCTGGCCAGGATTTCCAGGCGAATGGAGCCGTGGCAATATAAGCGGCATCGACACCTTTTCCTCCCCTGAACGGCGCGGCAGCGGTAGCGGACGACCACGTCTGAGCGGAACCCGCTTGCATGATGAGTCGACGCCCGTCGGGCGAGCGAGGGGTGAGCCGCCGTCCTCCCTCCCCCCCCTCCTTTCCTTTTCCTGCCTCCTCCCTCCTCCTCCTCGACTCGGTGAAACGCAACGAAGCCGCGCGCCGCGACCCGCCCGCGACCCACCTGAAACCCACGCGCGCGTGTCCGACAATTTTGCAAAATCGATGCCCCTGGAACCTCAAACCGATGAACCATTTTAGGCCCCCGGGCCCAAAACGCAAAATGCATTTTAGGCCCCCCGGCCCAAAACGCAAAATGCATTTTAGGCCCCCGGGCCCAAAACGCAAAATGCATTTTAGGCCCCCAGGCCCAAAATCCAAAAAACACATTTCAGGCCCCCCAAAAAATTATAGGCCCCCCCCCCAGCCGCGGGCGGACCTAAAATCTCAAACGCAATTTACCATCATAGGCCCCGGGCCTATGTTTTAGGCCCCCCTCTTAGGACGGGCTTAAATTTTAGGTCCGCTTACCCTCTGGGAAGGGCATCTTGGGCCATCGTGACCGTCTGGAAGAACAGTTTAGAAACCATCTTAGGCGTCTGGGCGGCGGAGGGAACACGTTTGTGCTTTCCCTACTGGCCGGCCGGTTGGGCAGGAGGCCTTTGCGAACCGTCAGACCTTTTCTAAGCATTAAAATTCTTCGCGCGCAAGCACCCATGTGATAAACAGGGGGCGGTGGGTCGAAGACGCTTACAGCGAACCACCGCCGCCCCAAGCCTCGTTGAAACGCCTACATGGCCGAACGATGTGCCGAGAGCTCGGCCACGCTATTGGACTGAATGTTCCCCAGGCCTTTGTGGGAACCCTTTTGGGGAACACTTAGGGAAAAGAAGGGGGAGAGAGAAAGGAGGAGCGGGAGCAAAGACGAGGAGGAGGTGGAGGCCTCTTGGGAGCTGTTGGGGCACTCGTGGGGCCTCCTGGGAGCACCTTGAAGGCCTCCTGAACGCCTCCTTGGGCCTCCTAGGGGCGGGCATTGTGTAAGTTTCGCTCTTCTTGTGCGTTCCCGGCCCGCCTGGCGCCGTCGGAAACCGTCTTGGGGGGCCCCCTCTTGGCCGACTTGGGTTTGTTTTGGGGGGCTTCACGGGCGTCATGGAGGCCATTGTGGGCGTCCCGGAGGTTTCCTGGGCCGTCTTGGAGCCCTCTTGGGGCCGTCTCAGGGGCCTTTTGGGTCGTCAGGTGCCAGTTTGGGCCGTCGGAGAGTGAGCCGAAAGGGAGGACATGCCAACATTTCGCAGGAACCTAGAGACAATCGGTGAGTTCGGCCTCTTCGGGCCTTCGTGGGCATCACCTTGGATGCCTTTTGGGCCGTCTTGGACTCCTCTAGGGGGCCTCTTGGGCCAGCTTTGGGCCATCTTGGGCCATCTTGGGTGCATCTCGGCCCTCCTGGAGGCGTGCTGGAGACCGTCTTGGACCGTCTTGGACAGAGTTGTCCTGTCTTTCCCTGGCCTTCTAGCTGGCTGGCGGGATGGGCCGAGACCCCAGTGGGGACCTTCAAGAAAACATTCAGAAGTTCAGCACGCCGTGGCACCCCTGTGTCAAGCCACAGGGGGCGGAGAATGCAGTGGCCTCTGGCCCATCCCGCCACCGTGCCTGGGTTGCAACCAGATGTCTTCTGGATATCGGTTGGGCTCCCTTTGGGTGCCTCTCGGGGGCCTCTTGGAAGCCTCTTCAAGGGTCTAGTGGGACCTCTCGGGGGCCTCTGGGGGGCCTGTTGGAGGCCTCTTCAGTGTCTTTGGTGGGGCTATTGGGGTCATGTTTGCGGTCTTGGGGACATCGTTTTGAAAACCGGCTTCCGCTGACCCTAGGCATTCGCTTTCTTGGGGCACTGCTGGAGGCCTCTTGGGCCGTCTTGGGGCCCTCCTCGGCGGCGGGGGGAGGGGGGGGGGAATATTGGGGCAAGTGGAAAGCGGCACTGCTGGGGGGGGGGGCGGGCGCGGATGGGGGAGGCGGAAGAGGTGGAAAAGGGGAGAGCGGGGAGGAAACAGAGGACATCGAGCGACAGAAGGCGGCCGCACGGTAGAGGCATGTGAGAATGAACACATCATGGCAACGACGATTTTGATGAGCGATATGTGCGGTGACGACGACTATAGCGTTCGTAATGGTAATGGTTTGACCTACGGTGTGGTGATTGAGATTGTGATGGTCAATGCGAGGACGAGCGCGATTGTAAATGACGATGTTGATGGCAATCATGAAGATGATGGCGGCGAGGGCCATGGTGATGATGATTGCGGCGGTGATTAGGACATCAGCAGCGACGGTAGCATTTGCACTGATGGTGCTGACTCGGTTGGCAGTGGCGATGGATACGTGGACGAACACGCCGATGGCGATGACGATGATGATGATGATGATGCTGATTACGATTATAAGGATGAGGATGATGAAGATGGTTGTGGTGATAATGGTGACAGTGGTGATGCTAATGCTGATGATGCTGATGATGCCAATGATGCTGATGATGCTGATGATGCTGATGATGCTGATGCTGATGCTGAGGATGGTGATGCTGATGATAATGATGCTGATGCTGATGCTGCTGGTGATGATGCTGATGATGCTGATGGTGATGTTGCTGATACTGATGATGATGATAACGATGATGCTGGTGCTGGTGATATGATGCTGATGCTGATGATACTGATGTTGATGATGATGGCGATGATGAAAATGATGATGCTGATGATGATGATGGTGGTGGTAAGGACGATGATGGTGCTGCTGATGATGATAACGATGCTGCTGATGATGATGAGTATATGATGGTGATGATGATGCTGCTGCTGATGCTGCTGCTGCTGCTGCTGCTGATGATGATGATGATGATGATGATGATGGTAAGGGTAAGGGTAAGGGTAAGGGTAAGGGTAAGGGTAATGATAATTGGAATGGTAATGGTAATGGTAACGGTAATGGTAATGGTAATGGTAATGGTAATGGTAATGGTAATGGTAGTGGTAATGATGCTGATCGTGGGATGATCGTGCTGATTGTGATGGTGATGATGCTCCTACCTCCTTCCAT